GTGCACTGAAGCTTGCTATGTGATGGTGCTGAGTACATTATAGTGCATCAGAAGGCATCAACTATATAGCTCGTGAGGCCAGGTTAGGGAGATCAAAACATGTCCGGGTTCTTGCTGAGTATATCAGAGTCTTCAAGGCCAGGAACTCCATTTACTGACGTGAAAGCCCTGGTACCGTACATTCAGAACTGCATTGACTTCCAAGACCTATTAGAAATGTAAGGAGTAACAATTAAGGCTGGGTGCCTGAATGTTATGTCACTAAACTTATGATCTAACCAACCTAGCAGCAGTTTTTAAATGCAGGTTCCAGCATTTAATGTTAGGAACTCTGATTTTTACATCTTGGCCTCCATTATTTGGTTTTAAAACAGGGTTGATGCTCGAAGCTTGGCCTGAGAGTCTTAGAGTTTTGACTTTGCTCCTGCACACATTTAATTTCTGGCCAGTTTTCTGTTGGTATCTTTTTGGTGGAACATCCAGTGCTGTTGGCAGGCTGATCAAAAGGCCAGAGCACCATACTGAGAGTTAAGGGATCTGGGTTGTGTTCCTGGCTGTACCAGCGAGGTACTGAGGCTCTGGGTGGACTGCGTAATTTTGCTGCTCAGTTTCCCTATGCATATAAAATAAGTGCAGTGAATGCCCCCTTTTAAAACGTGCTTTGGGATCAATAAGTAATGGGTTGCTGTTGCAGTTAGTGTTCATGTTCAGTTTTTCCTAATTGGAAAACAAATTTTGGCTGAGGATTTTTCTAAGAACTGATGCATAGTTCAGGCTGCAAGCTTTGAATACAAATAGTGAATTCGTAATATCTGCTTTAGGTATAGCTTGCTGCTTTTGCAGGTGTTCTTCTAAGAGCTCCCTAAGCAGCTTTTGCCGCAGTCAGGCAATGAAAATATGTGTTAATTGCAGCCCTTTGTTTTACCTGTCATGGTGCCTTCACATTTAAAAACTCATTTGCTGGCAAAGGAAAGGTATGCACAGGGTAACTTCAGTTCACTCGGAACCCGACAAGTTTTGGTTGTGTATCTGCATAGTCTGTTGGGCATCAGGCCCAGTGTGAAGTACTTCAGTCCTGTTGAATCCCTGCTTAGGGGGGATACTTGAGTGACCAAATGGGCGATCCTACAGATTCGGTCCATCCTGAGTGGTCTTACAGGTGACCCTGAAATAAAGCCTGATGCTGAAGGCACTGCTGGCTTTGCACTTGTCTGTTGCCTACTCTTTAAAAAGGCACTTCTACATCAGAAGTTTAACCATGGAGTTTTTTGTTTTTCTAAGAGCAATTTCCAGGAAAGGATATTTGCACGTCTAACCATTGTTGGTACGTCTGTTTTTGTTACTGCAGAGAAGTTTACCAAGGTGCTTGTGGAGCAGCAGCAGGATCGAGCCCGGCGGGAGCAGGAAAGGATCCGTCTGTTTTCAGCTGACCCTTTTGATCTAGAGGCTCAGGCCAAGATAGAAGAAGATATAAGGTAGCAAACCTAAGCCCAAGGGAGAACTGTTTATGAGACTCTGTTCCAAGTGAAAAAGCAGTTGGGGGTCTAGTTGGAACCAAAAGGGAAGGTGAATGAATCTTTTTCTTCCTCTATTGACTCCCAGTTCTTTTGGTGGTGTTGGGTTAATCTGCCCTAACCTAATATCAATATGGGTCATTTCCTCTGTGGGAGTTGCAATTCTCTCCCTCCCTCCCCAATTGTCATCTGTATTTTTTCAGCGTGCTCTTTCTGTTGTGAAGTGTGGCTCCATGACCTAGCTAGTAGAGGGGACTTCTGCTTACCCATTTCCATGGAGACCTGGAATTTAACTGAGTAGAATATATTGGTTCTCCTCAAAACTGAGCTCTGGGACTTGTGAACTTAACCCCCGACTCCTCCTGAGTCTCCTGTGTGGCAGTCACATGCTGCTACTGATCTGGCTTCATGGCGGTGGCGTTCACTCTGTTTCTCTCTTTATGTTGCGCCTGTGGTTGGTTAGAAAATTGAGGCGTGGTCACCATCAGAAAAGTGGTTCTTTAAAAAAGGCAAACCTTGCGACCCCCTCCCTTATACCCATGCTTTGTACCACCTTTGAAACGGAGGTGGGGAAAGCAGGAAAACACAAGTGTGGTGGCAGCAATCAAACTGACACTAAATCTCTGCCACTTACATATGCTGCTTGTTCTTGACTGCCTCAGCCCTGTCTATTGAAAGAGGCTGATTTAGTTTGCTTTGAACTGTCTCATGAGTAATTGAAGCCATGGGAGCCTGGCAGCTGGGCAGCATGCTGTTTTTTCAGGAGTCAGCCCTCAGTTTCCAAGCAGCATTGCTTATTTTTTTTCCCAGTGATACCATTTAATAGGTGCGTGGTACATCAGTGATTGCCTCCAAAGGGAATTGCAAGCAGCCTTCCCGTGGCAGAGGAAAGCTCATCTCAAAGCAGAGGAAGGGCAGGAGAAAAGCTTGGAATATTGCCCCTCTTCCTCCCCCCCCCCCCC